GCCATCATGAATCAACAAAAAACCCACGAAACTGTCATCGACGAAACCCGTAAAACACCAACAAGCAAGCTCAGAACACGAGACTTGGTGTTCATCATCGCCATTTCCGGCGGAATCTACCACAAACACCACCGTTGACATCACAAGAATCCATAGAAAATCGTAAGTTTTTGACAGTATTTGTTTGTTTTTGTTTCAGGAAGGTGAGAAGAAGAGAAAGAGAGATAATCGCAAGAACGTCACAGAAAGAAAGAAAGATCGCATGCAAGAGAGGACATAGAATTCTGGGCGTCGCAAGCACAAATGGGGGCTAGGGTTTCAGTCCTTCCCCCTTAATTTGTTACCAATCGGGTTTTGGTTCCTGGGGGTCATGACGCAGGCCCAACCCACTTTTTTTATTTTATTTATTTATTCAGTTTTTTATGCTTTGTAATAATTATTAAATAAATTAACAATACTTCCATTACTAACATAACTAATTACTAACAACTAACCCTTTTTTTTTTAAATCTGAAAAATAATTTTAAATTTAAAAACGATTTTTAATTTAAAAAAAAATATTAATTTAGAATTTAATTTAAGTTTTCTTTTAATAAATAAAAATATAAAAAAAATGCTTATTTTAGTTTTTTAAGTTAATTTCGTTTTCTTAATATAATAAAAAAAATTTAAAAAAACATTTTCATGGAACTTAGAATCATTTTCCTTAAAATAAATAAAAACAATTAACCATTAATTTCTTTTTCTAAATCAAATCATTTTCACCGTTTAATTCCATACTTAACCATATGCTCATTTCTATCTCATCACTCATTATTCACATTCTCATATCCCTTTGCTATTTATGCTATCATCAATTATCATTCACTTTAATATTTATCACTGCCTGTATTTTGCTACTCATTGCTTTATATTTACCATTTATCCCCTCTGAATGAAAGGTTATCCCGTTTGACCGCCGTGTCAATGCCTTTACCCTCGCCTCATCCTAGCCTTAGGATCTGAGTCGTCGTACTCATGCTTAGGCGTCCCGCCGTGGACACACCTTTACCTTTTCCCAGCCTTAAGATTTTGAGTCGCCGTACTCACGTTTAGGCGTCCCGCTGTGGAAATTCTTATCTTTTATCCTAGCCTTAGGATTAGGAGTCACCATACTCCATGTAAGTTCCCGCCGTGGAATACTTACTTACCCTTTTCAATTCAACTTTACAACGTAGATTAGGAGTCGCCGCACTCCATGTAAGCGCTTCCCTATGAACGTTTACATCCCCCTGAAACCTTGGCCACGGTCAAGAAGTTCCTCTTCCTCCCTCTATAAGGGGAACTACAATTACTCTGATTCCATCTCCTACCTCGGATACATAGGCACAAGATTAGAGTCTTGGCGAGTATACTTAAGACTAACCCCTTAGGTCCTTCTCTTTACCTTTAACCCTTAGCATTACCCTTAAGCAGATAACCATAGCAATAACACATTTAAACAAGAGGTTCTTGTAGAGTATTACAGAAGTTTAGGATGCTAATACCTTCCCTAAGCTTAACCAACCCTCGAACCTTAGATCTCTCCCCGCATTGTGTTTACGATGCAAAATAGGTTTTTCCCTTCTTTAACCTTTCCTTCGGATAAATCAAAGACCAGTTGAGAATCAAGATTGTGATTCAAATTAATCAATAATTTGATATTCTATTCTCACTGCAACGAGAAATGGTGACTTCACGGGGACAAGCCATATCTTTTCAAGGTTATCCCTATCCTGTTTATTTATGCTATTTGCTTTATTATCTGCTTGTATATATATTTGTTGTACCTTGCTTGGGGTATTATTGTTGTGAGATAAGTCATACACCCGAACTTGAGTGCAATTTTTATAGGAAGATGATATATTCGACGAGGCTTATAGGCAGTGATTCCCGACCAAGCTGACTTGAGAATCATCGCTCAATTGAGGCCCTCTCGAAAATAGTATTGTTGAACGAGTAATCATGAAAACATCCACTATTCTCGATTGGAGCCTGTGATACTGGGGACCGTAGTTACCTAAACACAACTTTGGCCTTATTAGAACGTAGTGCAATGGCTATGAGGGGGTATTCCCAAAATAGTTGCTACGCGATACTACACTCAAAAGAGGTTCTCTTAAGAATATTATTAACCACCAAGTTAGTCGGGAAATTAATAATATCCGAAAGATGAACTAATGACTTTGGGCACCTCTTTAGAACCCTTGTTCTGCAGGTACAATTAACCCTTAGTACATACCTCACGGAATGGGTAGACCTTGACTCCTTACCCATGACTCTCTAGCCTAGGAATTTTGTTTGTTTTTGTGTGTTTGTGCATTACATCCCAGCATCATGACATTCCTGGTTTCAAGGAATTCAACTGTCAGTCCTTGCAAATTCAAAAAAAAATATTGAATTTCAAAATCTAAAACTTTTTCAGCTTTCCTAAGAAAAACATTTGCAACTAACCCTTGAAATTCTTGAAACCATTGCATTGCATTGCATCCTTGTTTTTGCATTTGCATCTTTCCTTCTGGTTTCTTATCGTTGGTTCTCTCGCCTTCCCATTCTATCACCCTGAGTCCTCTGCATCAGTACAACACCAGAGCTCGAGCTCGGAAAAAGATGGCGGAACAAAATTAAGAGCTTGACCATGTTAGCAATGAACTCGAAGATCTTCGGGGAAGTGTGAGGCAGATTATGGAGATGCTACGGGTTATACATACGAGGATGGATACTCAGCCCACTATTGTTTCTGAGATTACCAATGCTGTTGTGGATCCTCAACTATTTGTTATTAATTCAAGTGTATCTCCTTACGGTCTTCCACTTGGTTTTGTGCCTACTCCTGCTGTAGTTCCTATTGCTCAACCAATTCAATGAGTCGTTCCTTTGGCTTCTGAAGCTCCTCAAGTGATTCCTACTTTTGCACCTGTTGTTGTTCATACTCATGTGCGACCAACTCCTGGTTATCAGTCTACACAAGCTCCTGCCAACTATCAACGAGCGCCCAACGCTCCTGCCTATCAACAACCAAAGTGGCGGAGAACCTTATTTCTTAGAGAGCTTCATGTGTATGATGAACTTCTTTTTATGCTTTGAGGTGTCATTCTTTCCATGAATAAATATAAGTGGTTTTAGAAGCATGATAAAGATGGTACTTTCTCAGTGGCATCTACTTACCTTGTTCAAAAGGTTAGTTCTTCTGATTCTTCAGATCCTCTTTCGAATAGAGTTGTATCCTCCCCTTTATATGGGCAAGTTTGGATCCTTCTAAAATTTTAGTCTTTTCTTGGCATATTTTGCAAGATATACTTCAATCTAGCGAGAACATGTCTAAGAGAGAGATGGTATTTGATCCTTGTATGATCTATTATCCTTTTTGGGGTTATCTGGTTCAGTCAGCTTTCCACCTCTTTGTTACTTATGAGATAGTCTTGACTGTGTGGTATAGAATTGTTAAGTGATTAGGGTGGTAGGTAGTTATCTTTAATGACCCTAGTGTGCTTTTTGAGTCTTTTATTTTTTTAGGGGACTAGAGTAAGTATATGAGCGATTATCTTTTGATTTGACATGTTGTAGTCTAGTCCATTTGAAAAGCCTCCAATGATGTCATCTTCAAGAGAGTCATAAAATCAGTGAAAGAGAAGATTTTTTTTTTGGTTTGAAAATGGTTTCTGAGTAAATCAGGGGTGAACTCTTGCACTTTCACTAAATGACTTCAGAACTCTATCCTCTGCATATACCTACAATTGATCGAGTGTTTATCTTAGTTTTTAGGTGGATTTTGACTTTTTGTTTTTATTGGTGTTCTTTTTGATTGGGTCTAATTTGTTGATAGTGGATCTAAAGGTTTGAGATCTAATTTGTTGTCAATAGGTGAATTTTTAGTAGCTTGGGTCTTTATCTATAGGGACTCCTTAGCCAGATTGGTTTGATTTTGTTGTCCGTTCATTTGTGGTATTTGACATTTCTTATGCTTAATGTCTATCTTTGCTGTACATTGGTGTTTTTGCACCCTTTATTACTCACTCTATCCTAAATAAGTGTCATACTTAATACATTTACATAATACATTTACACAAATTAAAAAAATGTAACAAATGAAAGAGTATATAGTGATTTTACTAATGTGTAAAATCACCCTTTAGTGCATTTGAATTTGCGTTAAATGAAATAAAAAAATAATAAATTAAAAGTATTAATCAGTGGATAAATTAAAAGACGAAAATTAAAATTGCATTGATAACCTAAAATGACCAATATTTTATAACAATTTTTTTAAATATAACACTTATTTTAAGATGGATGAAATAATATATTATTATTTGTCATTAAAAAAATTATAAATACGGGTTAGAACTTTGAACATTTTAAACTCATATCCTTGTCAATTCAATTTCTAACCCTATTTTAATTATCATTGCAGAATTGGTTTTTAAGATGATTAATACAATTGAAAATGTAAAATTTATGAAATTAAAAGGGCAGAGAAAAATAGCAAGGGAATTCTATTTTACTCGTCATTGTTATTAACAAAAATTAATTTTTAAATTTATTAAACAATCAAAGTACCAAAATATAACAATTCAAAAATATCAATTATTTCCTCAAGTGATTTTTTTTACACTTTTATAATAGTATTCAGATGATTTATTTTTTGATACTAACAATGAGATGGTTTTATTCTCTAATTTCCCCTTAATTCACAAATTGTTGTACCAAAGAAAAAACAACATTATCTAATCTAACCCAAGATTCCTTCACAATTCCATTTTTTCAATAAAACTGTTATTGACAATATATGCAGATTCCAGAACCTATACAAAATTTCATGTTATTCACACTAACATTGAGCATTGACCTAAACATCAAATTAAACCGTGGTCATAAACTCATAGGTAACATGCAAATTATTAAAAATCACAGATAGCTTTTTGCAATAAAGCCATAAATCGAGTCACCATTCAACGACGACAACAGATCTTAGTCGGGACTCACCACTCGTCCCATTTATTTATGAAGTCATCAAACATAGACGCAGAAACTGATTCGCGTAATGAGAACGCAATCTGTTCTTGCATAGAAGAAAGAAATTGAACATCAGGAAGTTCATCAGGATCTGATAGTTCTTCGACGAATGTCCCCCCTAAACTACTGAATAACCAGTCGTTTCTTTCTTCGCGTCGGATGAAGTTATGCAAAACACAAGCAGCTATGACTATGTCTCGCTGAATCTGAAAAGAATACTGGGGAGCAAGTTTAAGGATTGGGAATCTACTTTTCAACACATTAAATGACCTCAAGATAGTATTCCTCAGAAAGCAATGCCTATGATTGAACAACTCCTTTGCATTTCTTGGTAATTGATTGGCACCCCGATATTCATAAGGTTGGTACCCAACTCCTTGAAAAGGAGCCATAAATCCTTCTGTATTTAAGTATCCTTGGTCAACAAGGTAATATTTTCCTGTGAAATAAATCCAAAAGAAATAAATGAATGAAGTTTTTTTTTGAAAACTCGGTATCTGAATATCCGGCCATATGACCAACTAGTCCGGGAAACCAATCCCACTGCCCATTAGCGGGGAGGCCACTTAAAGTCAGAGCTTTGTTCTGTGCGGACTGGCTCAAGTTGAGTACTATAAAAAACGAACCTTGAGGAATTTGAGGGAAATTCTGATCTGGATCATCAAGGACCGCCCTTAAGACCCGCGAGTCTGTGACAGAACCTTCCCAACCAGGATAAATGAATATAAACTGCAAGTCAAATGTGCATGCTGCAAGCACATTTTGAGATAGGATACCTTTCTTATTGCGAAATCGAGATTGATCTTTGGCCGGAACATGTGCAGGAATTTGCATACCGTCAATTACTCCTATACAATCCTGAAATTATACAAGGGGGAGAGGAAATGTCACTAAAGTAGCACAAGTAATGAAAAATAAGAAATAAAAAAAATAAAAAAAAAAACTTAACAGATCATTTGGACCTTGAAATACGGGTAAAATCTAGCATTGTTGAGAATTTCTTGAGATGTTGTATGCTGAGGAGGTTGCAAAAATTCACGCGATAGTGATTTAATAGCTTTCAAAACATTATTAAAATGTCTGCTAATCGTTTCGCCGGAGTGCTGAAACCGCTCCTGAATCACTCTGTTACGTTCATTGTGGCCAATGACGTTTAAAAATATCGCCAACTGCTCCTCTATCATTACACCAGAAGTATCGCGTAACATGGCTCTTTGGCGAAGAATGCCACACAACTTGAGAAATACGTGTCTGTCCATCCGCAACATTTCTCGACAAAAGACGTCGGATCCGTTCAACACTTCTGTCATGAATTCACATCTCCTTGGCGATAAACAACGAGAGGGCTGCTGTTTGGTTAAAGAGTTGTAATAATAGTATCCAGCAGCAGCCGCAACGAGTTCCATCTCATCTAATTCCAAGTCAATGTCTTCCATGTTGATCGGCGTATCTGTAAAGACAAACTTCAAAACTACGATAGGTATAAGATAAAGATGTCTTTCTTATATATCTAGTTGATAAAAATTCCAGTTATGCATAAAACAGAGTTTCAACACAAAGAGCTTTGTTTGCATTAAAATAAATTCAAAACAGTCATAGAAACTAACATCATTCTTTTGCATATCAATTAACTATACAAAATTTCGGCACAATTTGGTAACCCAAAACAAAAAAGGACGATTTTCTCAAACAATTAAACTAGAGGAAACACCGAATTTGCCCTGCAACCATGTCAATCTTTTTTCACCCTTAAGAGAGATGAAAACCTCCCGGGCATTAGGGTGATCCTCAAACAATCCTAAAGCAAAAAAGTAAATCCTTTCATCAACACCTTGCATCTCATCCAACACATTGATGCACTTGCTTATTGAAAATCTTTCCTCATTCTTCATAATTGCATTGGCCCTCATTTTTGAAGCAGCTGCTATCTGCATCATTGCATCCACTATGGCATCACCAGTAGCTTTCCGGCCCCTCTTCCGACCACCACTAGCCGAAACACCAGCCTGACGCTTTTGTCCGTCTAACATGTTTACATCATCTCCAGAACCCGAAGAACCATCCTCGTCAACGTAAGCCATACTGCAAAAACATAACAATCAATTCAGGTTTCAAATTCTTAATACAACACAGCAGCATAATATAATAGTATAACCAGAGTAGTCAATAGCGGCGCTATATCGCTATGGCGGAGCGGAGCTTATACCAACCACTATGGGAAGAGCCTTAGTGGTGCAAAACCCTATAACGGCCGCTATAGGGTAAATAGCATGATAGTGGAGCAGAGCGGTTCCCGGCTCGGGGAAGTTTCAGACCCGCTATCCTTTTCCTCTCTCAAAAACCGAAATTACCCCTTAAATTTATAAGGTTTTAAGGGTAATTACAGGGTTTTCAATCTAATTTGAGTTGAGACTCAACCTTAACCTTCCTTCATAATCGTTTTACGCTCTACCATTGTCACGTGTGCTTTGATTCAAATTATGAATATTTTACGAGTAGAGTTATTTGTTTAATTTTACATTAAATATATATTTATAATTATTATATGTAATTTGCCAAAAAATGATCAAATAGAGAGGTGATCCCGCTATGCGCCATCACATTTTTGGGGCCGGCCGCTCCGTGCCACTATCTGGAGATGACTACTCTGAGTATAACAACTAAAAATCATCAAAACCCTAACACATCATAGCAACCAAGAATCAAAACACACAAATTTAAAACACAATAAGCAACCCTAAAATTTCAAATAACACATCATAGCAACTATGATATAAAGCAGACACAAATTCAAAACCTCCGTAAAAGGTAAATTCTCAAAACATGACAATAATTTCAAATTCTCAACAATACACTAACTTTGAAAACCCCTAAAAATGCAAAAACAAAAAGCTAGAACCTTAAGTAGGCAAACAGGAACTTTTTCTTCTGTGACGTGTAACTGGTAGTAAGCTATTTTGAGGAATAGAAAAGGAACAAAGCAACGTACCGAAACGCACAGTGATGTGGAGAAGATTGTTTGTGGTATTTGAGTGAAACAGAGTGGGAAACTGTTGTGGCAAAACCCTAACAACAGTGTTTTGTGAGTACACACGGGGGTTACTTGTTAGTTTTTGCAGTTGTTTGTCACTTATACCGGAGTATACTAATGCAGTGTACTTTTATATATTTAGTAATTAGTACTAATGCATTGTACTTGTGAAAATAACAATTTTATATCATAATTGTTAATTATAATAAAATAGATATTTAAATATTTTTATTAATATTTAAAAATAAAAATTTTATAATTTTTAATTTAAAATAATGGTTAATTAAAATAAAATAAATATTTTGTTGATAATAACTCGTGAGATGAAAAATTAATTGTATACATGTTTATTGAAATATTCTTCAAATTGATAAAATAAATTTTAATTTAAAAATTAGTTAATTAATTTTTTTAATAATAAATAGAATTAATTGAATATGTCGTAAAATAAAACTAAGTGTTAACATTATATATATATATATATATATATATATATATATATATATATATATATATATATATATATATATATATATATATATATATATATATATATATATATATATATATATATATATATATATATATATATATATATATATATATATAAGCAACAATAAATATTTAGTATAATAACCATATTACAAACAATTTTTAATACCCATATAATAAGTGTAAAAAATACATTATTTTTTTTTAATTAAAAAAAACTATAGAATCATTTTTCTACTTGTATAATATAATATATATATATATATATATATATATATATATATATATATATATATATATATATATATATATATATATATATATATATATATATATATATATATATATATATATATATATATATATATATATCTTCTTTTTACAAATATAATTAAAACAATAACTAATTTTAAAAAGAAAATAGCTAGATTATCTATATTTAAAATCTGATTTTTTTTAACTTTGTTTTTTCATTCGTTTGTACTCACATTTTTTCTTTTGCTTTGTTTTTTTATTTATTCATGTTTTTTTTTTCTTTATTTACATTCTTTATAAATATAAAAATCAAAAATAAATTAATAATAATAAAAAATATGAAATATTTGTTTGTATTTACTCATGTTCATTGTTGGAATTAAACCTAAAATTTTAAGTAATTCTGAATCAATCTCGATGAACAAGATTCAATCACAACGATCGAATTCTTTCTTCTTCTTCACTCTTCACTCGAGTGAATCAACTAATCTTGATTGCAAAATTGTATTGTTGCACAATGGTGATGAAAACAAGAAAACATTGAATTTGGAAAGAAAAGAAATTAGGGATTCAAAACCAAAATAAGAAAGAAGAAGAATTTTTGCAGCGTAACTCTCTACTTTAAAAACTGCAATTTTATTAGAATGAATCACACTACAATAATAAGGGTTACACCTTATTTATAGAAACCTGATAGTTTGCCCACTAAGAGAAGTCCAAAATACCTAATTTTGTTAACACTACAAAATTAGGCCCAAATCCAAAATCCATGTTGAGGTTACTCCTCCGAAACTTCGATAACAAAACAATTTCGACACACACACGCACACACTAAGGTTATTCGACAACTTCCTTGTCCCTGTCGAGCAACCTGCTTCGACACAAGAAATTACAATTCAATACACCACTTAATTCATTGTGTCTAAACTATCTATATTCATCACAGACCTTAATTTCTTGAACACTTTGACTTGCACTTCTTTTATCATGATATCTACAATTTAATTCTCAGTTCTGCAGTGTTCCAAGTTCGGCTTCGCTTCTGCTACCTGCTCTCGAAGATAATGGAACCTCATTTTGATGTGCTTGCTTCGTCCATGTGTTATTGGATTCTTCGCCAGATTGATAGCAGACATGTTGTCAATTTTCATGGTAATTGCTTCATGATTCTTCCCTGTAATCTCTTCGACCAGATTCACCATCCATGTTGCTTGACATGCGAAAAGAGAAAAAACTATGTATTCTGCTTCACATGATGATAGTGCCACTATTGGTTCCTTTCTTAAACTCCAAGCAACTGGTGCACCACCTAACATAAACACATAGCCAGCTATGGATTTTCTATCATCAACATCACTATACCAACTTGATTCGGTGTATCCCACTAACTTGTATTCTTTTCCTTCATCAGTTGCAGATAACAAATTGCCATAGTCGAAAGTTCCTTTCAGATACCTTAGTACCTCTTCGTCACTGCTAGATGTGATACCTTTGAATTCTACATGAATCTACTTACCATACCTACACTGTATGCTAGATCAGGCCTTGTGTGACAAAGGTATCGAAGTGATCCAATGAGTCTTCTGTATTGCATTGGATCAGCATCATCTTCATTTGTGTCTTTCGACAATTGCATTCTAGGCTCAGTTGGGTTGCATTCTTGCATGTTGATCAATCATACTGAATTATTATCATGGTCAAAGAGGTATGCAATTAGGGTTGTGACGGCACAAAAGTTATGCTTTAATATTTATGGAAAGTATCAAGCGTTGATGCGAAAAACGACACCAATTTCAAATGAATTGTTCATTAAAATCTGCCCCCTTGACCCCCGTCCGTTGACCGGATATCGGAACCCCTGATTACTCTGCACCGTATGATCATTTTCCGAAATTTAATTTGATTTATTTAATTAATATGATTTAAATTAATAATAAAAATGTATTTGTTATTGTTCTCTTGTGGTGATCAGTTATGGCCTTAGTTTTCATTTATTTTGTTTTGGGATTTTAAAATACGACATGCATGTTGTGCCTCTCTTTTGATATCTTGATGTAACTTCTCTTCTCTTCTCACTCCCTCGTATGTAAAATGAGTATTCTTTGATGTAATATAATATTATGAAGAAATAGAAGAATATAAGATCAAAGGAGGACAGCCTTGGAGATCTTGCTTGGAGAAACATAGATCGTTATTAGGTTTAACTTAGGTTCTCTCATTGGCTTGAGAGAACAATTGCGCTAGGGGCCATAATTGTTTCATTTTGTATGTATGTTGGTGCATGTGAGAATAATTTTATTGATAAATAAGCCGGTGAGATCAAACTAATTAAAAATCCTCTCAAAATTGAATATTAAATTTATGTTTTCAAAGTTTTAACACTCATCAAGACTAGTATCAAATAATATTAAGTTTATGTTTTTTTTTATTTTCTCTGTGTTTCAGGTACACAAATAAGAATGCCTCTCAGGCGTGTAGTTAAAGGAAAACAACTGGAGATAGAAACCTTAAGGCCAAGGAAACGAGCCAATCGGACGCCTAACACACACAACATCGTTTTCGACAATCTAGAACATGAAGAACGCTACACATGCCACGTCAAGCGTAAAATTATGCCGACCAGGTACATGTGTAACAAAACTTTATTTGAGTTAGGGTTGAATATTGAAATTGATAGAATGTTTCATAGTCTTGGTATGTTGGAATTTATACACTTAGAAGCTCTGACTTATGAGCGCATGACGTTGGAATTTGTAAGTACTATTGACTTTCATTTGAAGAAAAGATGGACAGGAACAATGAGATATTTTTATGGCTTAATGAAATTCCGGCTGTTTAATACTGATCATGAGCTCAACGTCGAAGAGTTAGGAGGAATCCTCCGACTCCCACTGTATAGCCCCAAAGTTGTCCCAAATACTTTTGATAATAAAGCATTTTGGACGGCCATTACTGGTAAGTCTGATTATATCTCAAAGGGTGCCAAGGCGTCAGGGATCCATAACCCTTGTTTTAGGTATGCACAGAAGGGTTTGGCATACACTTTATTTGGTAGGGGAGACAGTACCGAAGTTGCTACACAAAGGGAGTTATTCTTCCTTTATGTTATGGCAAATTCTGAGATGATAAATGTGGCTGCTTTTGCAGCGGATTATCTGGGCAGAGTAGGCATGGTAACACAGGGAGGAATATCTGTCAGTGGAATGATAATGCAGATAGCTGAGCATTTCAGCTATGATCCTACCGCATTGGGTGATGCACCCATAAATAGGTAAAACTAGACTAGATATGGTTGCCCTTGTC